CGGCTGACAGTTTGATTTATTGTAGAGATGAGGTCTCGCTGCCCAGGTGGGTCTCGAACCCGCGGGCTCAGGCAATCCACTCACCTCAGCCTCCCAAAGGCGCAGGATTACAGGCTGAGCCACTGAACCCTGCTAGGTATCTTTTTTTATAGAGTGATTTGAGTTCTTCTGGGTATATTTCCAGTAGGGGGATTGCAGGGTCGTATGGAAGGTCGATTTTTAGATCTTTTAGGAATCGCCACACTGTTTTCCACAGAAGCTGTGCTAGTTTACACTCCCACCAACAGTGTAGAAGTGTTCCCTTTTTGCCGCATCCTCTCCAGCATCTGTTATTTTTTGAGTTATGGATGGTAGCTATCCTGACTGGAGTTAGGTGGCATGTCAGCGTAGTTTTAATTTGCATTTCTTTGATGACTAGTGAGGCTGAGCATTTTTTCATGTATCTGTTGGCTGCTCGTATGTCTTCTTTTGAGAACTGTCTATTCATATCTTTTGCCCACGTTGTAATGGGGCTGTTTTTTTTTTTCTTTTTGGCATGTTTGAGTTCCTTGCAGATCCTAGATCTTAGGCCTTTGTCAGGCACATAGTTGGCAAATATTTTTTCCCAGTCTGTGGGCTGTCTCCCTGCCCTTTGATGGTTTTTTGGCATTGCCAAAGCTTGTCAGTTTGCTGAGGTCCCACTTGTCTATCTTATCTCTTATGGCATGGGCACTTGGGGTTTTGATCAGGGATTGGTTGTCAATTCCAATTTCCATAAGGGCGTCTCCTGCATTTTCTAAGGTTCTTATAGTTTGAGGTTTTACATTTAGGTCTTTGATCCATTTAGAGTTGATTTTTTGTGTATGGGGATAGGTAGGGATCTTGTTTTAATCTTCTGCATGTGGTCAGCCAGTTTCTCAGCACCACTTACTGAATAGGTTCTCCTCTCCCCAGTGGTTGTTGGTGGAGATTGTCAAAGGTGAGTTGGCTGAGAAATTGAGGTTTTGCTTCTGGAATCTCTATCCTGTCACATTGGTTTATATGCCTGTTCTTGTACCAATACCAGACTGTTTTGATTACTGTAGCTTTATAATAGAGTTTAAAGTCTGGGAGTGTGATACCTCCGCTCTGTTGTTTGTTTTTTTTTTTGCTGAGGATTGTTTTGGCCATTTGTGGTCCTTTATGTTTCCATATTTATTACTGTGTTGTCATTTTCAGTTCTGAGAAGAATTCTGCTGGCAATTTAATGGGTATTGTATTAAATCTGTAGATTGCCTTGGGTAGGATGGACATCTTAACAACGTTTTTTTTGTTTTTTTTTTGAGTTGAAGTCTCACTCTGTCGCCCAGACTGGAGTGCAGTGGCACGCTCCCAATCCTTCTGCTCAGCTTTCCAAGTAGCTGGAACTACAGGCGCGCGCTACCATGCCTGGCTAATTTTTTTATTTATTGTAGAGATGAGGTCTCGTCAAGTTGCCCAGGCGGGTCTCAAACCCGCAGGCTCAGGTAATCCACTCACCTCGGCCTCCCAAAGCGCGGAATTACAGGCTGAGCCACCGAGCCGGCCACAACAATATTGATTTTTTCAATCCATGAGCATGGAATATTTTCTCATTTGTTTGTGTCATCTTTGATTTCTTTGAGCAGTGTTTTGTAGTTTTCATTGTAAAGGTCTTCCACCTCTCTAGTTAGGAAGATGCCAAGGCATTTGATTATTTTTCTGGCTATTGTGAATGGGATTGTGCTTTTTATTTGGGTTTCTGTTTGTTTGTTGGTGGTGTATAGAAATGCAACTGTCTTTTGCACATTGATTTTATACCCTGAGACTTTGCCAAAATCCTATATCAGTGCAAGAAGGTTTTTGACAGATTCTCTTGGGTTTTCAAGGTATAGAATCATATCGTCAGCAAAGAGATACTTGACTTCCTCTTTTCCTATTTGGATACCACAGATCTCCTTCTCTTGTCTGATTGCTTTTGCTAGGACTTCCAAAACTATGTTGAAAAGGAAGGGTGAGAGTGGGCATCCTTGTCTTATTCCAGTTTTCAGGGGAACTAGATCCAATTTATATCTGTTTAATAGTATGCTGGCTGTGGGTTTCTCGTAGATGCATGCCCTTTTTATAGACACGAAAGTGACATTCATGGAAAGTGAGTGGCAAGTGGCTTTTTTAACATCGTACAAATAGTCACTTGGAAGGTCAAATAAACATATCATCCTCTTCCTCCCCTAACATTGTACTCCCTAGTGAAGAAACCATCTTGTTTAACTCTTTTTTTTTTTTTTTTTTTTGAGTTGGAGTCTCACTCTGTCGCCCAGACTGGAGTGCAGTGGCCGCTCCCGGCCACCGCAGCCTCAACCTGCTGGGCCCCGGCGATCCTTCCGCCTCAGCCTTCCAAGTAGCCAGAATTACAGGCATGTGCTACCACACCCAGCTGCGTTTTTGATTTATTGTAGAGATGAGGTCTTGCTGCCCAGGCGGGTCTCAAACCTGCGGGCTCAGGCTTGTTAAACTCTTGGGAGAGAAAAACCAGCTCTGAGGATGCATGTACTGCACAATTCCATTGTAAATGGAAGAAAAACTATATGTTCACCTTGGAATCCTTCTGGAAGGTCGCCTGCCAAGCTTCTCAGGGCTGGCAGTCCCAGTTCATTTTACATTCTTCTTTGTATTTTCTCACTCTTCTTTAACGATCTGTATTATTTTTATAGAAGTTACACTTCGTTTTTTAAGCAGAACTGTCATGCTTACTCGAAAATAAACTGCAAGTTCCTAATGAAAACATGAATGAACTTCTTTAAATGTAAAGAGGAACCAAAGTATGCAGACACAAAAGAGGACATGCTGTATGATATGAGTCTGTGTATAAGAGATTCAACTAAAAGGCTATGCTAGTTCGTGGTGATGAAAGTCGGAGTTGTGGTTTACCTTGGGGGAGCCACGGGGTGAGTCTGGGGAACTGACCTTGCTCTTTGTGCTTGATCTGGGTGCTAGTAATATGGGTGTGTTCACTTATGACAATTCATAAAGTTATGCCATAGATTTTTTGGCATTGATTTTGATTTTTAAAGTATTGCCTTAACATGTTATTTATCTGGATTATTGAGTATTTTGGTACTCCCTTAGGTTTTGTGCTCAAGCAAGCACCTCCCTTGGCTCACCCTAGTCCTGGGCCTGCAGGGATGGGAGGAATCACTGAGGCTGTGTTATCCAACCATCCACCACTGGGCCACATCTACCAACTCATCAAAGCCCTTTATATCAGAGACTAGCCTGGAAAACATGAGCTACTCCAGGGGTTTCAAACAGAATCGATACAATACAGAGAATTGGTTCCCAGATGAAGTAAGGCTTGAGAAGCCAAATGGGAGAATGAGGCAACACAGAGACTTGCAGCGAGGGCTGGAGTTTTTCGTTCTTGTTGTCCTTTTTATCCTATGGAACTAAAATGCCATGGGGCGGCAATTCCTCTCGGAACACAGAGACTATAGCCCTGAGGGCTGGAGGGACACCAGAACAAGGTAGTGTTATCGAAACCAGAAGCAGGGCCTCTTGATGGGTGCTGGAAGCATAGCAGGAGGCTGCCAGGCACGAGCTACTCATCAGAGGGAGGGGACAGAATGAGCTGGAGCCAGGGAGGAAACACATTCAGTGCTGGAAAATGCCCTCTGAGCCCAGAGGGTGAGAACTACATGGGCTCCCCTGTTTTCTGTCTCCCAAGCTCCCATCACTGCTTCCCATTGACTGGCCCTCGCCAGAAGCAAGCTGGTGAGGGAGCCTGGGGACAGGGCTTGGAGGAGGGTGAGGCGCTAACAGGCTCCCAATACCTAGTTCCTTTGCTCCTTCCTCCCAGGACTGCACAGGACATGGGGTTCCTCTGCTAGGAAGGAGACTCCTCCAGCCTGTGTCCAACTCAAAGGTGATTATTAGGCTCAACTTACCCAATTCACTGGTTTCACAGCATCACTGACTCTCCATCACTTTTCCAAAGACAATGGGTAGCCCAACGTGGCGGACACACCTTAAGGTAACCCCTTGTATAATCCTCTCCCCTTGGGTGTGGGTGAAACACAAGACTTACTCCTAACCCAAAGAGTAGGACAAAGGGGATGAGCCGTCCCTCTCACGATCATGTTGCATTGTATAAGATGCTGTCGTAGTAGACTGGAGTGAGAGAAGATTCTCTTGCTGACCTGGGAGAAGTCAACAGCCATGTTTTGAAATGTCTGTAGAGAGCCACGTGGGGGGGAACTGCAGGGAGACGCTAGGACCTCGGCAGTCTTTTCCCAAGCACCGGTAGCAGCGGGGGTCCTCAGTCACACAGCTGCAAGAAAATGAATCTGCCAACAACCTGAATGTGCTTGGACACAGCCTCTCCCTGGTCCTGTCTTCAGATGAGAACACAGCCTGCCTGCCACTAAACTGTAGTCTTATGAGACCCTGAGCACAGGACCCAGTGAAGGTCCTGGATTCCTCAACCATGAAAACGATGAAGTAATAAATGCATTGTTTCAAGTCACTAAATGTGTGGTACTTTGTTGTGCTGCGAAAGAAAACTAATAAGTGGGAAGAAAGGCTCTCTGCCTCCCTTTTTCAAAACCACAGCGCTCCATTTTAAAAAGGTAGGATGAGAAATGAGAAAAGTCACTCTGTACCTTATAATGGCTTCCTTCCCTTTCTACTTCTCACTCTGTCTGAGCCCAAACTACCAGGAACAATTGTCAGGCCTGTTGTTCTGGGCGGCAGGCAGAACTACATTTTAAAGGAAGTCTTTGCCGCTCCCCGTGGCTGTCTGCCATTACTGCAGGTGCTCCCACTAGCCCCCGGAGAGGGCAAAAAGTTAGGGCTGGACTCAGCATGCTGCAGGTCAGTGACGGCAAACAGACTCTCGGCTCTGGCACTTTCCACACTCAAATGAGACACACGTGAACAAAAGTTCCAATGACACCATCACTAAACCAGGAAAGTCAGCTGAGGGCTTGAATACTCCCTTTCATGTCATTTTATTTTCTTTTATGCAGACTGGCGGGGAGAGGAAAGCCCATGGATTCTTCTGGAAACTGTCAAGATATTGGGAAGATGAATGCGAAACTTGCGTAGATTGGGATGCCCACAGTTTGGATTTTCAAGGCCTAAAACATGAAACAAAACAAAGCAAGCAAAACAAAACTTTTGGAGTAAACACAATTGCCCTCTAAAAGGGGGAAGAGGAAGGCCTGATTGCAGAAGCTGGTGGTTCTCAACTCTAGCTGCACATTAGAATCACCTACAGATGGTATTTAAAGCAAACTTTAAAAAATTAGGTATGACTTAAATACAATGAAGCGCACAATTCTTAAATGTACATCTTGCTGGGCAGGGTGGCTCACGCCTGTAATCCCAGCACTTTGGGAGGCAAAGGCAAGAGGATTGCCTGAGCCCAAGGCTTCAAGACCAGCCTGGGCCATTTGGCAAGACCTCATCTCCATAATAAATAAATAAAATTAGCCAGGCACAGTGGCGTGTGCCTGTAGTTCCAGCTACTTGGAAGGCTGAACTGGATCACCTGAGCCCAGCTGGTGGAGGAGGCTGCTGTAGCCATCATGAATTTTCACAAAGTAAACACTCCTGTGTAAACCTCAGTCTGATCAAGATAAAGGATATTTCCAGCCTTATGGAAATCTCCTTCATTCTCCTTCTTGGTTAATATCTCAGTCCCTCTTACTCACACCCACAAAGGAAATTGCTATTCTGGTTTCTAACATCATAGAAAATAACGTGGGAAGTTTTTTAAAAATATTGTTACCCAGGCTCTACCCACAGAGTATCTGACCTTGTGATCTGGGTGGGGCTCTGGCGTGGAAATTGTAAAGGCCCCAGGGGATTCTAATGTGCAGTCAGGACTGGGAATTACTCACTGGCTTATGGCCAAGTCCCATAAGTAAGAGAGGCTCCCAGATCTCCTTGAAGTCACAGCCCAAAGAGTTTCGCACTCCTAGACTCTGGCAATTTCTAGATCGTGACTGTCAGAAGCCATCCCAGGCAATGAATCTGCCTGGATGCTGGCCCCATCCACACAGGTAGATGAGTATGGTCCTCCTCAGATGGGCCAGAGGGACGCAGATGGGTCCCAGCTGTGGATTTCCGGGGAGGTGATGGGTTATACACAGGCACCAGTGGAGGTGGTGATGTAAATAAATACACTTCACTGAACCTCCCCCACCTAAAAAAATACACTTGGATGCTCATACGGTTCTAGTGTTATCCACGTCAGGTAGTCTGATTTGAATTATAGTTATCCGTATCCCCTGTTTTTCATTCTAGAAAGGGTCTCTTTAGCATTATTTGGAGCTATGATAATCCTTAAGAAATTGAGCAAGCTTGTCCAGTGATCTCCAGTGTAGATCACTAGAGATCACTAGAGATCACTAGAGATTAAAAGCCAGTGGTTTCCAAAAAGGGGTGAGGGAGTGAAAGAGCAAAAAGGAAACAAAAGAAAAAGACGAGCACTTGCATGGCTTTTGCAGGTCGGCTTGATGAATCCAAACTTCTGTGTGATCTGGTTTGTCCTGAACTCCAGCCACCTGCCATCCACCAGGGCCTGGGCTCGGATCTCATACTTCACCAAGCGTTCTGCTCTCAGGCTGACCAGGGTGTACTCACCGACCAAGGAAGAAACTTCCAGGTCCGTGTGCCTTTTTCTCTGCAGACAGAGAAACCCATCTCAGGTGAACTGTGAGACCCGGTTCTTAGCATATAGAGCTTCCTGTATAATGTGCGTAGGCAGGAAGAGGCCGTTTGCCAAATGGTACCATTTCCTGAGAGCCACTGCTGAGTCAGCTGTCACAGGAGCCCTCACCTTACATAAATCGCTGGCTGATGGACTGGGTTTTGGCCAACTCAGGAAAACGCCACTAAGTCAACCTTCATTATCGCTTGGTCAGAATTAAGAAACCAACATAGTATTCATATGGGAATTTTGACTGGTGATGTTATGTCTCTTCTATTTCAAAAAATCCATTGAGTAGGAAGATGCCTTAGTCACTGGAGGTCAAGAACTGAGATCCCAGGAAGAAAACAACTTGCTCAGGGGCACTTAATGTAGTAGTGGCACAGTTGGGACTAAAACTTTGGTTTTATTCATGCATTGATTCATTGATCCATCCATTCAGTCAGTCATTTAAAACTCCCCTGTGTTCCAGGTACTGTCATTGGCAGTAGTTGTAAAAAGATTAATAAGATATGGTTTCTCAAAAGCTTGTAGTTTAGGAAAGAGAGACATAAGTAAATCCTAAGGGGAAAATAGTGGTCCTTCCTCATGGTTGTCATTGTCACTATCATTCTCATCATACTAATGCATACAGTGCATTGTATGTCAGGCCTTATTCCAAGTCATTTGCACAAATTAACACATTTCATACTCACAAAAACCCAGTGAGGAAGGTCTCATTCTGTCCTTTGTCTTAAAGGTGAGGAAACTGGGTAGAGCAGGACCTGGGACTTGCCCAGGTCATGCAATACACAGGCCATTTGATTGTGCACTCTCTGCTCCCAAGTGTGGCATTTTCCGGCCTCCCCTAGTCCAGCAGGAGCAGGGAGGGAAAGTCAAGCACCTTCCTGCCTTTTCCAGGGTCCTGCCCACAGCCTGCTTTGCCACACTAAACAAATCACCCCCTTTCCCACTTGGAGGCACTACCTGTCACCTTCACGGAAGAATGACCATCTGTAAAGCATCACACATGTATGAATGGAAGATGAATTGTGCCCCCATTTATGGAGATAGGAGATGAAGATTTAACCCTGGCTTGATCAATAGAGGTCATATGAACATGAAGGCTCTCAGTTTTGAGGGTCTCATCTGCTAAATGGGCTAACAATACCTACCTCCTAATGGCATCACATATATGAGCACGATCAGCACTTACAATACACTTCATATTGATTGTTAATTAATAATTAATCAATTATTATTATTAATTCAGCATGAAGTGACTCAATCTAAAAGGCTGTTTCAGAGACTCACCTTCCAGGTCCTTCTTACCTGCATGTAAAAACTATATGAGGTTGCATCATGTTTGATTCCCTTTATCTCAAAGAAAAATCCATACACAGCAATCATTTTTGAATAAGTTGTATATTCCTAAATTGGGAAAGGGAAGCACAAAGTGAAGGGGGAAACCATCTTTAGTTTTCAAATCAAGAGGACACAGTGAAACAAATTATAGCAACAACAGCAAAAGTGACTCATCTGGCAACTGATTTAAAAGTGACTACAACAGCAATTTTAGCCTAGAAAAAGGCTTTTAAAAAGCCACAGTGTAGTGACTCCATAAATCCTTAGTACAGTAGCTACTACTAACAGTTACTAGAGTTAGTACAAGTTAGTTAGTAGTAGTTATTGAGCAGTGACAATAGTATTTACTTAGCATAGTCCTTAATGAGAAAGAGAATGGGTTAGGCATGTTCTTGGATGACCTGTGGTCTGCAGACCTTTGAAACAAAGCATTCAATCCAAATTCAATGAGCCTAAGAGCCACTCCATGCTCATGGCACTCACAGGAAGTCCTGACCCCTGTCATCTACATCTGCCCACTTAGGCAGGTCTCTGCAACCAAGGGACAGGTTATGACCCAGAGCCGATCCAGATATGACCCAAAGGGGAATCTCTGGTGATAGCTTTCAGAGCCCCGAGTCCCTGAAACACTAATTCTTTTGAGCTCACTATTGGGGTGCCTTTAAAAAAATCAAAGGAGACCAGCAATTTCTTGGTGAATTGCGCCTATCACAGGGAACCCAAGTAGAGCACAGCCACCAGCCCCAGATGCTCCCCTGGTGACTGAACACCAAGATAACTTGCAGAACCTTGACACACTGCTGTTTGATTCTGGGATCTGTCAAAATAGCTGCCTACAATGAGTTTACCCTTGCAACCTTAAACACGGACTTGGCATGGAGTCTCTAGTTGAGCCAGTTTTCAGCTGTCAATGCTTGTGGAAATAGGATGACAAACCCATCCCAGTTTGCTTAGGCCTTTCCTGGTTTTAGAACGGAAAGTTATGCATCCCAGGGAAACTCCTCCATCACAGGAAAACCAGAACTGATCACCACCTTAGTGGGGAAATTTGGGACACATCAGATTACTGAACAGCCTGTCCCAGGCCCCTGCCTTGTGAATATTATTTCCTAGGAGCTGGTGAGAATATAGGAGAGACACCCATGATTCCCTCTTCTTCCCTGGTCTTCCTACCAGAGGTCCAGAGTAATCATGAACTGCCCTCCAAAGGTCCTTAACCAAGCATGGAAGGGATGATTCTTCTCCTTGTTTGGGTTTGGTTCTTAGTACCTGGGAAAAGAGCAGCCCAAATCTCAGAGCCTGGTTGGTAAAATCTTTCAGATGGACCATGTCACCCCCACTCTCCAGCTGAAAGGAAAATGCACACAGTTTACTGCAGCCTGATCCACTGGACACAAGTGCCTCTTGTCATCTTCATGCTGGTTCCTTGATCCCTACACTTCCACCATGCTTAAAATAAAGTTCTGGGCTGGGCTCAGTGGCTCAGCCTGTAATCGCAGCACTTTGGGAGGCTGAGGTGAGTGGATTGCCTGAGCTGGCAGATTCGAGACCCACCCGGGCAACTTGGTGAGACCTTGTCTCTACAGTAAATCAAAAAATTAGCTGGGCATGGTAGCATGCACCTGTAGTTTCGGCTACTTGGAAGACAGGTGGAAAGATTGCAGGAGGCCAGCGGGTCGACGCAGGGGTGGCTGCGAGCATGCCGCTGCACTCCAGTCTGGGTGACAGAGTGAGACTCCAACTCAAAAAAAAAAAAAGAATAGAGTTCTGCCTCTAGACTCTACTTTCAGCCATCCATTCCATCCATGGGCATTTACTGAAAACCTGCTCTGTGCTAGGTATTGTGCTCAGTGCTTTCAGAGGATGCAAAGAGGAGAAAAAGAAAAGCATCCGAGCAGCCTCACTTGGGAGATAAAATGTGAACCTAAATAGCTTGATCGGGGGCAGGATGACCGTGGTCACAAAGTCAGAAGCAAGTAAGGCCCCTTCATGCGTGTGGCGGGCTCCAAGGTGAGGGTCAAGGAGGGGGTGAATTTGCGAGATTGATTTTGGCAGCATGGGGCAAAAGGAAGGAGACAGGAGGCGGGAAACTTCCTGAGATGTCAGAGCAAACTGTCCCTTCTCTCTGCTGTTGCAGCATCATTCTGAGTTATGTCCCACAGAAGTACCCTTCTGTGGAATGATTATCTGCTGTGCAGGAAACACTGAGTACTGTAGTTTGCACATTACAATAGGTATTTGTTGAGCTAGACTGAATGTTAACTAGTGACTCACAGATCCTCAGAACTCACACACTGCCCTGCTTCATCTCTGAAAATGCAAGATTAGAAACACATAGGAAGGGCAACAGTTTGCATAGACAATTCACACCGGAGAAATGTGTGGACACATATTCATATTTACAGGTAATAAAGGAAATGCATATTCAAACATGAGACACCATTGTTCCCTCTTCAATTAACAAAAGTGATTTGAAATTAAAATGTTCCACATTGCTGAGGATGTACAAAGCGAGGCATGCTCATTTACTCATGGGGGAAGAGTAATTTGGTCTCAACACCCGTCAATATGTACCAAGAAGCCAGGCTCGGTGGCTCAGCCTGTAATCCCGCGCCTTTGGGAGGCTGAGGTGAGTGAATTGCCTGAGCCCGCAGGTTCGAGATCCACCTGGGCAACTTGGCAAGCCCTCATCTCTACAATAAAAATCAAAAATTAGCCAGGCGTGGTAGCACGCGCCTGTAGTTCCAGCTACTTGGAAGGCTGAGGCGGAAGGATCGCCGGAGCCCAGCAGGTCGAGGCTGCGGTGGTCGGGAGCGACCACTGCACTCCAGTCTGGGTAACAGAGTGAGACTCCAACTAAAAAAAAAAAAAAAAAAAAATGTACCAAGAACAAACATGCACATTCCATTTTGTGCCAGTATTTCTGCACTTGAGGCTTGCCTATGAGAAAATTATTCAAAGTATAGTAAAAGAAACCATTAGGTTCAAATATGTTTCCCACAGTGTCCTTTATAATAGCAAACGATTGAAAACACCATGAATTTTCTACAATAAGGGAATGACAAAGTAACATCGATCATAGCACATCCTCTTGGCAGAAGAGTTTGCAGTCATTAAAAGTGGTGCTAGGAAGCACATTTAAATGAGTCTGTGGGTGTGTGGGCGTGTGTGTACAAAAGGACTGAAACACAATACATACAGTATAATACAATACAATGAGATGTTAACAGTGGTTGTCATTGGGTAATGTGTCTGACGGTATTTCTTTTCTTTGTTTCAATTTCTCTGCATTTTGGAAATTCTCCACAGCAAATACATGCCACATTTGTGACTGTTAGGGCACTTGGTGTGGGGAACAGTGTGTCCAGAGCTCCTGCATCCCATCTAACCCTCCAGATCAACATGGCAGGTGGACCAGTTCCAAGGCTGGGTCTCCTCTCTCCTCCTCTCCTCCCAGGCTCCGTTCTCCCCATTTCCCCTGGAGGAGGATCCAGATATGTCCTGATCTCAACGGCCCAGAGTTTTCCAATGTGAAACACATCTCCAGGAAGAGCAAAGTTAGAGGTAATACATTTTAATAATTGTTCCTTGCCGAGCGGGCAACTTACAGCATAGTAATGGTTGGCTGTAACCCGGACCAGCCACGACTCCGGGAAGAAGTTAATGTGCCTTAACTCTTCCAAGTCCTCACCTTGGAAGAAACACAAAGAGAACATTTTTACAGTTTCATTCATAACAGGACCTCAAAATCTCATTTATAGAAAGGAAAATAAATAAGCCAGGGACTGAGGGAAGGGAAAAAAGCACATGGTCTCATTTAAGGTTTGTTTGGTAAAATGGGAATAAAATATCTCAGAATCACTGTGATTGTATTCAGAGTCAATTCCTTTTGTACTCCGAATTAATTATCTTTTAAAAATATATACAGGCCGGGCTCGGTAGCTCAGCCTGTAATCCCGCACCTTGGGAGGCTGAGGTGAGTGGATTGCCTGAGTCCGCGGGTTCGAGACCCGCCTGGGCAACTTGGCGAGAACTCATCTCTACAATAAATCAAAAATTAGCTGGGCTCAGTGACTCAGCCTGTAATCCCGCGCCTTTGGGAGGCTGAGGTGAGTGGGTTGCCCGAGCCTGCGGGTTCGAGATCCGCCTGGGCAGCGAGACCTCATCTCTACAATAAATCAAAAAATCAGCCGGGCGTGGTAGCGCGCACCTGTAATTCCGGCTGCTTAGAAGGCTGAGGCGGAAGGATCGCCGGAGCCCAGCAGGTCGAGGCTGCGGTGGCCGGAAGTGTGCCACTGCACTCCAGTCTGGGCAACAGAATGAGACTCCAACTCAAAAAAAAAAAAAAAAAAAGTTGCTTCTGTTTTTATTTTTCTTCTCATACTTTTCCCTAGGTGTCACTTCCCAGGGCCCCAGGAATCAGTAAGCTATGCATAAATTACAGGGTACTCCACCCACCCCTCTCTCTGGGACAAAGCTAACTGGTTCCATTAACCATTCTGAGTTTTAGAGTTACTTATTATACCTGGACAGCTAGCTGGAAATGGCATTGAAAAAGTTTTCAGATGTCCTTTCAGATGCAAAAGTCCCACTGAGTGGCCTCTTGGACTGCCCAAACAAGCTCCCCAATATTTCCCTGCTCTTTCCAAGTTGCAGTTGTCTTTCCCTGTGCCCAGAGCATGAGGTTGACAGAGCACAAGCCTAGTGTGGAGCACAGACGCAGAGTTTTCTGTCAAACTGCCCAATAAGGGACCTAGAGGTGAATCACCTGCTTAGAGACAGGGCACGTGCTGAGATGGTGATGAAACAGCTCGTGGCAGCTATAAGTGCTTTGCAATGTATAAGCCCCTTGTAGATGCCATTGTACTTCATGAAAGCTCTGATGATCTTTCATGATGATCTTTCTGATGAGACCGGCAGGGAAACTGAGATCAAGTAGTTACATGACCTTCCCAAAGTCAAATGGCTTGGAAGGGACAATTCCAGATTGCAGCTGACTCCTCTGGCAGTGGCTAAGCGTGATTGGGTCCCCAGCAGCTTTCCTGTAGATGCACTCACCTGGGCCGGGACTTACCTCTGGTGATGCCATGCAGTCGCAAGCAAAGAAAGAGCGGCACCAAACTCTGTCCTGTGTCCCGGTCCAGAAAGCAGCAGTTCTTGGGAAAGCTTAGCAGAGGCACAAAGAAGAATAAAAAGCCTTCAGAAAACTCCCTTCTGGAATTAACTTGGGCTAGAAAATGCCATGTCATAGAGAGAAGTGGTTTCACCAGCCAGGGGGAGACAGGGCCTGGTTTTCTCTGGATGGGTTAGGTGTGTGGAAGCAGACACGATGTCACCTGGGTTGTTTTGTTTTGTTGAGTTGGGGTCTCACTCTGTCACCTGGTCTGGAGAGCAGTGGCATAATCATGGCACACTGAAGGCCCAACCTCCTGGGCTCAGGCAATCCTTCCACCTCAGCCTCCTGAATAGCTGGGACTACAGGTGTGTGCCACCATGCCCAGCTAATATTTTTATTTTCTGTAGTGACAAGGTCTCGCTGTATTCCCCAGGCTAGTCGCAAACTCCTGGGCTCAAGCAATCCTTTTGCCTTGGCTTCCAAAAGTGCTAGGATTTCAGGCGTGAGCCACTACACCAGGCCCTGAGTTGTTTCTTTTTTTTTTTTTTTTTTTTTTGAGTTGGAGTCTCACTCTGTCTCCCAGACTGGAGTGCAGTGGCCACTCCCGGCCACCGTAGCCTGGACCTGCTGGGCTTCGGAGATCCTTCCGCCTCCGCCTTCCGAGTAGCCGGAATTACAGGTGCACGCTACCACGCCCAGCTGGTTTTTGATTTACTGTAGAGATGAGGGTTCGCCAAGTTGCCCAGGTGGGTCTTGAGCCTGTGAGCTCAGGCAATCCACTCACCTCAGCCTCCCAAAGATGAGGGATTACAGGCTGCTGAGTTGTTTCTGATGTTGATGTTTGTAAAGTCTAACCCCAGGGTGGAGACAAGTGATTATATTCCCCTTGGCAGCTACCACTGATCTGTGTACTTGGTAGGTGCCCAACAAATGCATATTAAGTGACTGATGGGAACACATTACTTCATAGAGGACTTCAAAAGACATTTTCTTACTCGAGTCTCAGAAAATTCCCATGGAGCAGAAAGGACAAGTATTAGGAGTTCCATTCTACAGATGGGACACAGAGGCTCAGCCAGGACTTGAACCCCAGACTCCTGACTTCTCCTGTATATACACTGCCTTTCCAGTAAGCGCCCCAATTAAGTACTTCAAAAGTACTTTCTGGTAAAATTAAAAAAAAAGAAGAATGGATGTGTGGGTAACTAGATTTAGCAGCTGGTCGTGTGATCCATTCTGCTCCAGTCAGTGTTAATATTCAATTCAAATTCATTTCTATGCAGGGCTGGAGGTCAGGGTTGGCTTGACCCATTCTCCTTGAGAAGACACACACATTCTCCACCCTCACTTTGAAATAATTTGCTTCATAAAATGGTGACTTTTCACAAATTGGGACAACGGGGAATAACTTTTCCAAATCCCTTTGGAAATGCAAAGTCACTTTCTCAGGGATAGAACCAGCCAAGGGTATTTTCAGATTATTTTTCTGTGAAGAGTGATGTCCAAGTCACACCCTGTCCCAACTGGACCAAGTGCATCTTTGGCCCATGTCCCCCTCTGTCGGAGATGCCTGCCAGCCTTCCCAGAACCATGTGTTTTCATAAGATCTGGGAATTCCTGGGTCTGTCCAGCTCCTCTCCACATCAGTGGTCCCAGGAGATAGGTCTGTCAGTACTGTGGAGTTAAGGGGTGGGGGAGGGGACATATAAGCACAAAGACAAGTGAGTTCTGAATAAATCTAAGGGTTACTTATTTGAATCTGCTATGTGCCTGTCTCTGGAAATGGATGGAGCAGGCATGGATAAAGACAAGTCGATATTTTCAGGAGTGCCAGACTATTGGTCCAGGAACCAGCCCTCCATTACTTAGGGCAAGGGGAGCCGGGGCTAGTGAGTGCTGTGCCCGGGCCTGAAGATCACTGATATCTTAGTGGGACAAATACTCGTTTCCTTTCCTCAACTGATCTGGATTCCTCTCCTCCTCCTGCTTCTCTTTCACTATTTAATGGAGAAGCAACTTGTGACACCATAGCTGGGTGGCAGATGTCAAGGGGGGAAGAAGGGGCTGAGCTGATGCTGTCTTCACCAACCAGCCTAGTCCAGTGCTCTGGAGAATGTGGTGGCACCCGTGACAAGGACCCCCATAGCCCGGTGCCACCACTGAACAGTGAGCACCTGCTGGAGCTGAAATACAGATTCAGCTACAGAAGGGAAAGAGCATCGCTTCCCCAGCCCAGAGCCACCAGGCACCGGTTCTGCTGCTTTGCTTGAAATGGCAAGGCTGCTGAAGAGTAGGAGGAACCAAGGCCGTGATCTTCCTTCAGAGAGGCACTCAGACCCGAAGGACCTCTTAGTCAAGCCCTCCTCTCGCAGAGAATATAGAAACGACTTTGTTGAGACAGGTGGTTGTCCTTAATGACTCCTCACTTCACTGGAAAGTGGCAATGATGCCCACTATTGTGGCTAGCTTGGAGAGGCCATGAGTCAGCTCATCACCCAACCAAGCTGGGCCCCTCGTGTCATACAGACCAGGGTTCAGCCCTGGTCAATCATGTAACTAGGCCTCTCTGAGCTTCATTCTCCTTCTCTTTCATGTGGGAGCAGTAGTCACATGTGCCTCCTTGGGGAGATGGGAAGAGTAAAGGTGACAGTGCTTGGGAAGTGTGTGGCAATGCTGCTGGGACCCAGAGAGTCCTCAACACCTTGTGAGTACCACAATTGTCCTCCTGTGCTGGGGAAAGTGACCTCAACCCAAGTGGGCCAAGTGCAGGGAATTGTTCTTGGTGGCATTCCTCATCATTGCCACCCTCTAAATCAACCAAGGTATGGGCCACCTCAAAGAAAGAAAATGGTGTCCTCAGCTTCTGATTTTCTAACATCTCATTTTCTGATTTTTTAACATCTCAAAGAACCTGATGTCCACCCTGGAACTGATGAGTATCACCCTGCTCCCAGGGCCTAGCAATGTTCGTTTTCGTGGACCCAACATTCCACGCAGACCTCCTGCGTCCAGTTCAGCACCTTTTCCATCTTTCCTTGCTCTTCTTAACTGTCTGAGTGTGGAGGCATCTGCTCCTCTCTGGCCCAAAGAGGAGCACATGTAAAATGGAAGCAAGTGGCCTGCTGAGTCTGGGACGTCTTCGCATGGCTATGTTGGTGGAATCAACGACTGGCATGGTTTCCCCTGGGGAACTCTGTCTGTACAAAGACCTCTTTTGGTTTAACATTTACTTTTCTGGGACAACTTCAGGTCATGGTCCCTGCCTCTTGAAGTTCACTGGGGAGCTCTTAGGATATGACCCTTTGAGGGAAGACAGTTCACAATTCTTTACTACCAAAAGATATTACCCAGATTGGCTTTGGCTCCTCCTCTCAAGGATCTGGATACAAGCGTCCCATAGACCTCCCGAAAGACAGTGTCAGGGGATAGTTTTACAGGTGCTCTTGGCCACAACTATCTCACTTCCTCTACCCTGCCATCTGAGGGAGTCAGTGTAAAACCTACAGCCCTGTTAGTCCGAGTGTTCCAAAGTTTAGCCTTAAAATACACACATGCTACATACTACATGTTTGAACCTTGACAATATCAAGCTATGTGAAATAAGATAGAAAGGACAAGTGCTTTATGATTCCACTCCATGAGGTCTCTAAAGTAGGCCAATTCATAGAACAGAAGGTGGAATGATGGCTGCCAAGGGCTGGGGAAGAGGGAGAAGGGTTGCTGTGTCATGGGCACAAGTTTTAATTTGGGAAGATGAAAGATTTCTGGAGAGGCTGCACGATGATGTGAATGTACTTAATGCCACTGAACTGAACTCACAAGAATGGTTAAAATGGTAAATTTTATGAAAAATTTTTATCTCAATTAGAAAAAAGAATTAAGGTTATAAATGACTTTGCTTATTTGAAATGATATATTAAATTTTAAGAAATATATATTTTAGGCCAGTCTCGGTGGCTCAGCCTGTAATCCCAGCACTTTGGGAGGCTGCAGCGAAGGATTGCCTGAGCCCACAGTTTTGAGACCAATCCAGGCAACTTGGCAAGAACTCTACAATAAATTCAAAAGTTTGCCAGGTGTGATAGTGCATACCTGTAGTTCCGGCTACTTGGGAGGCTGAGGCGGAAGGGTCGCCAGAGCCCAGCAGGTCAACACTGGGGTGGCTGAGCGCGTGCCACTGTACTCCAGCCTGGATAATGAAGTGAAACTCCAACTCAAAAAACAAAAAAAAGAGAAAGATACATTTTTTTTTTTTTTTTAATTAGAGTCTCACTCTGTCATCCAGACTGGAGTGCAGTGGC